TCAAATTACTACTATGTCTTATGCAGGCTGACAGAGGTAAACCCTGTTATTTTGCTGAACCTTTTTGTAGCTTTCACTGACATCCAAATTGGTAAGTTCAGGTAGTATTTACAAAATGTAGTGAAAATATGGATGTACTTAAGTCTTCAATTTTAAGTCTACAAGAGTTCTTTTTGTTGTTGCACGAACATTCAGAAGGAGAGTTAGGTGTGATTCTGGCATATATGTCAGTTTCTCTTCTTGTTTCATTAATAACTGCTGTTTTCAACTTGTCAAAATGTTATAATAGTTGGTATCATCACAGCTCACTTCTGCTTATATTGCATCATAGTTACACCATCTATTCTCATCTGGGGCAAATATCCATCACTGAAATGTATACTTCCTTCACACAAACCATATCTTTAAGCCCAATCAACAGAGTGTCTTTATCTCTGTATTTTCAGCCAACCACAAGCTTTATATATAGCAGGTGTCTAGATTTGCAAGGACTGAACAAACAAAAGGCCTTTATTCTATTTAGAATTATAGTCTAAAGTAGTTATACACATTTTATGTACAGATGACAATGCATTTTTATGCTGCTCTACTAGGGAACCCTTACTTTTCCTTGGGGTAAAGTCCAAGAAAGTAGAATTCTGAAAGTAATTGTCATAGCAGTGTTCCTGTCTATATGGTCTGCTTGTCCAGCTCCTATGTTAGCAATGTTATTTTTCTGTTTGTTGATTAATTATGATTTCTATTTTATTTGACATGAACATCTTTCTAAAGTATATATTTATATATTTCCATAGTACTTCTACACAAATGTAACAAATGTAAGCAATGACTGTAAATACCCTTCAATAAATATTTGAGCTGCATCCATAATATCAACCAACATTCACCTAAACTGCACTTTCAAGGTGTACTTTGATTTTACCTCAATGTCTCTGAACAGATCTCATTAATATTTTGACAGGGATATGGTGATAACAGAAGTATCATTTGCTTTCCCCCCCTATATCCCTGTGCTGTTCATCAGGGGGTTGCTCAATAAAATATGCATACTCTTTTGGCTATATGTTTTCTCCAATGTGGATGACTGGTAGTGCATTTGTTTTGTTTTGTTTTTAATAACTGAAGAAATTTACCTCAACCAATAAAGAAGATCATCCCTCTTCAGTATTCTACTTGAATGACAGAAGACTAATTTGAGAACCAAATTCAGCAAAAATCTCACATCACTTAGCTCCTATCAGTGTGTATGCTTGTATGTTTTTATATGCTTCATAGTTTCATATCATATCAAGTCATCACTATAATATGAACATATTAATAACCATGAAATCTAAAATTCTCCCCTATTAAGATATTATTAAAGTCACATTATCAACTGTTTAAAGCAATATTCTGTAACTGTATGAACTCCAAAATGCATATTCCTAATTAATTTAATTGAAAATTCCCAACCAGAAGTAACACTCTGCTGTGTTAAATTAAGACACCTCTTTTCACTGTCTTTTGAAAAATCACTGAATACTTTTTCTTTAAAAATGATTTTTCCCTTTTTATTGAAAATATTTTTTCTCATACAGTATGTCCTTATTAAAGTTTTCTCTCCCTCTACTCCTCCCCGTTCCCCACCACCTTCCCTCCATCCAGATCCACTCTCTTTCTATCTCTCACGAGAAAAGAACAGGATTCTAAGAGACAACAGCAAAACATATCAAAATAAAATATAATAAGATAAAACAAAAACAATCACATCAAGCCTGGACAAGGCAAATCAACAGAACTAAAAGAGCCCCAAGAGAAGGCACAAGAATCAGAGACCCACTCATTCACACACTCATGAGTCCCATAATTTTATTTATTTATTTATTTTTTTTTTGGTTTTTTCGAGACAGGGTTTCTCTGTGTAGCTTTGCGCCTTTCCTGGAGCTCACTTGGTAGCCCAGGCTGGCCTCGAACTCACAGAGATCCGCCTGGCTCTGCCTCCCGAGTGCTGGGATTAAAGGCGTGCGCCACCACGCCCGGCCTAATTTTATTTTTAAAATAGTCATCAAAGTGATGAATTTCATTATGATGCTATGAAACATATTTAATTCTATATTGTTCATATTTTCAGCTTTCTCCCCTTCCTTCTCCCTGCTCACCAGTCAGTCATTTTGGGTCATTCCTGAAATTAGTCTCCTTTCCAGTTTAATATAAAGTAATTCAACATATATTTATACATAATAAATTTACATATATTATATATACATATTTCTAATTCTGTGAAGAAGGCCATTGGAGTTACAGGATGCAGGAATTTGCTTCACTAAAGCATCACACTGGGGAATAGACATGTTGTGGGTGGTAGAGATGAGTTATGGGGCTGATGTTCCTGTCTCAACTATCTTCTTGAATTCTGAGCTGGTATAACCACTTCCTTACATTAACTCCTCTTCTCTATCTCTCACATTGTTTTTCTTTATTTATGGTATGCTCTATCTGCCCTTTGTGAAAAGGAAACAGGATATCTGGTTGTAGACCCTTGATTAATAACAGAAGGTCAAATGGAGAAGAATAGCAGACATGGTTATGTGCATGAAGAGTCTTTTGTAGGTGAGAGAAGATGAGTTGATGGGGAAAACAACTGCAAGGGAGAAATTACGTTCTTGATCACTTTTGCTCTGTTATGGGCAGAGCTGGAGGTCTTGCTATGCTCTGCACAGTAAGGAGAGACATGGAAGGAGTGTGTTCTATCTGTTGGGATTTGTGCAGCTCTTAGTAGAAGAAGTTTTTCTTCTTCTTAGAATAGGCAGCTGGTATCCCAGGAAACTGTCTGGACTGAGAACCAGAAGTGTGGGTTCAATTCCTGCTCATCTATTTCTGCAGAATTTTAGGAACAGTAATTCGACTCTGTGGTCCCAGTGTCTTCATTTGTAAAGGAAGCACTGGTGCTCTGACCTCTCAACTGTACAACAATGATCATCTAAGTGTGGATCTTCTTTCTGATTCAAAGCCACTGTCTATTCTACCTCAGATTTATTTAAATCATCACGCCTGTTCAGTTCTGTATTTATTTGTTCATAGATTCCTACATCCATTCAACGAATAGTTATTGATTGCCTATGTTCTCTGGCAGTGGTCTGGATTCATAACACACAACAGTGGTAACAGATAAACGTGTGTGGCCTGTGGAGTTCCCACTATGACAATCAGAATCAGGGTAATAATGCACCATGAGCACTTTCTTTTGTGGGCAGAAAGTATATCACTGAACCTTTGCAAACACAACTTTTTCTATTACCTTTCTTTTTTGAAAATTTCTGCATATGATATATTTTGGTCACTTTTTCCCTCTCCTCACTCCTCCCATATCTCTCTCATCCCCTCACCCACCTATGAGAAAGAATAACTTTTTAACCTCAAATTTTACCTATTTATTTTCTTATTTTCAGTGTTTCTAAAAATGATTGATGTTATAATATTGATCTCATATGAATGCCTAATGCAAACTAAACAGACTACTAGAGAATTTCTTCTAAGTCTTTCATGTATTTTAGAAACTATGTAATATTTTTTAAATAATTTATGTTCTGTATGCCTTCTAGCAAAAAAATATTCCTCAGAATCCTAAGATTATTTGTTTTATACAGATCACTTGAATCACTATCACCCAATAACTAGAAAAAAACTAACAGATTGTTTTGGAAAATTGTAAACTATGAACACAGGAAAAGAAAAATAACCTAGTAGGACTTTAAAAACTGATCTAGACATCTATATTTTAATAAGAAATCAATATACTTTGGTGTGATAAAAATAATTATGGAAGAAATAGTAACATGGGGAAAATATAGAGTAAGCCTGTGTTTATGGAAGATCTTAATATTGAGAGGAATGTAAATAATGATAACAGCAAGTAACAAAGAGTAGCATGCAAAGGGCAGTAATTGAATTACCTTACTGTTTATGTCATCAGTCTGCTTTCACTTCTATTATGATCTGTAGAAGACTTATGGCTCTGTGGAATATCAGCAACACACAGCAAGAGTCACATTAGCACTGAGTATTTACCACTGTAACTCAAACCGGATCCTTCAGTTTTAACCAGCCATTCATACCATTACCATTTCCCTGGATTAAAGGTTTCTTTATCTTATATGCATTTGGAAATATTGTTTAAAAAATAGTAATGTCCAGATTCTCAGAAGAATTAGCACATGATGTCAATAAAACTGCTCCAGTGCCTGCTTAGACATTGCTCATCAAACACAGTACTCTGGCAAGTTCTAGTTTCAGATGTAGAGTCGGTTCAGCTTTCAAAGCCATAATTACCAATCAATTAGATTAGATGCTTCGATTAAAATCCATTTTCTATCTATGTAACAGGAAGTCCTACAATTTTCTTGGATCTTTATTGAACGTATGTATTTAGTAAAAAAAGATAATAAGATAAATGTTTCAGATTAAAGAGAGAGACACTAGGAAAACAAACTGGCTGAGTAGGAGCTAGGGCTGGAAAAAAGAAATTCAAATAATCATTGAAGTAATAACCCTTATATTGTGTTAAAAGGAGAAAATGATTACTACCAATTTGTTAATTGTGGAAAGGCCTAGATAGCTTATTAAGTATGTGTTGAAGAGGCAATTGAAATCAGTCATGTTTTCTTTTGGGATCCTACAACACAAATACTTTTATTTTACAAATTATAGAATTCAATCATCAAAAAGTTTAAACCTTCCCAATCTATGTAAGAAGAGGGGATGAAATATGAACCTCCTGGCAATGCCTCTTGTGAGCTCCTAACAATGAGATTTAAAGTTCTTAAGATGAAAAACATATCTAATACATTTCATACTAATTTGGAGGTTCACAAATAATGAATGAATTAACCAATCTGTTTTGGGAGTGAATATGTTCTATTTGGTTTAATGATTGCCCTAATTGTGACACAAATTCAAGGCTATTTTTCAAAGAAGTGACATTTATTTCTACTCACAGGGCTCTTAACTATTTCTACTTATAGGGCTCTTCTATGTGATGCTGGGGATGAATGTACGTAGGATTCCATTCCAAGGTTGACTTGAAAGGTTCATCGAAGATTGAGAACAGACAGGTAACTGTTTATTTTGAGTCTTAGTATTTGGGTTAAGTATATTTACTCAATATTATGGAGTTTCTAATGAACTACAGAGGTGTGTTAGGCTGTAGCCATATGCATACTGTTGATTTGACTGGCCCTAATGCTTTCTTCTTGTTTACTTTATTACTCAACTTGCTCTCACTATTTAAACATCAGCACAAAGGAAGTAGAAATTTTTGTTTTGAACTGTTGAGAAAACATGGGTTTGAAAGAAAAATCACTTGGGATATTTTTGCTACTGTTGAACCTCTAAGAGCTGGCATTTTCAGTATTACTCGTATGCATGTAAGTATGTGTGTGTGTGTGTGTGTGTGTGTGTGTGTGTGTGTGTGTGTGTGTGTGTGTGTGTAGATTGAACCTAGGGTCAGACACATGCTTGGTAAGCACTCTACTGCTAATTTTTAATCCATGAACTAGTGTTACTTAATTTAAATTAATGTTGACTTTGTCAGGGGAATCTATACATACTGAGAAAACTATAAGGTAGTACATAAAATAACAACACAATTTTCTCTTTGAAATATGTGTTATATCCTAAACTTTATTTGGACCAGTTGTAGCTAACATTTAGTACTAAAGAGCTCAAATGTTCAGGAAGAATTTATTTCCTTAGTAATACCATATATCTTTAAATTTCATTGTAGTTTGCCTTGGTATTTACAAAACCAATATGAAAGATTTTCAATCTCTAATATTTATGTAAAATTATGTTTACAGTTTCATTGTGTTATTATTCAAGTAACTGATTATATATAGCAAAGAAATATATATCTGTATAACCTCCTAGGCCAGATTATCTTAAATGAGATAGATTTACTGTATTCTTGGAAGCTAAGCAGGCTTAGGTCTAGTTAGTACTTGGATAGGAGACCCCAAAAATTAAATTTCTTTTTTTTTTTAAGCAGAGTCTCACTATGTAGCTCAAGCTGTCCTGGAACTCATTATGTAAATCAGGCTGATGTCAAACTCACAGAGATCCTCCTGCCTCTGCCTCCCAAGTGCTGGGATTAAAGGCCTATTGTCACCATGCCCATTAAAAAAAAGACTTTTAAGTAAGGAATTTTATCATTTTCTATTTAGTATGTCAACTTTTATCAACTATTTTTCTTTTAAGAAAGCCCCCAAACAGAAGGGAATCATTATATCTTGACTTCTTCAAAAATTTTTCTCAGTGGGTTCCCTTTGTCACAGGCAAACCTCAGGACCTCTTTTTTTGTGTAAACTACCTTCCTCGTTTCTAAACCTTTTCCAAAATAGAGGTCCATAACTTCTCGGAGGGATTTATGCATTAACTACAGTTAAATACTTCCCAGCTATTTCATTTCATGCTTTACCTATGATTATGCTCTTGTTGTTTTTATGAACCTTGTCACTTTGCCAAATACAGAAATTAAATGACTAGACATTTAGCCAGAATTTATGATTTTCAAAGTGATAGGACCAGTGTTGACTCCATTTCCTCATTAATTATCTTTATGATGTAAGTGAGCCGTGGCTATAATCTTCATTTGGCAAGCTGAGAAACAACAAAGTCTCCAAATGATTTGTAAAAGTAATTTACCTGTGGTTCATAGGTAGTAATTAATAAAGAAAAAATAGAACACTTGCTTTCCTAACATTCAAATTTTTGTGTGATGAGGATATTATTGGTCATAATAATGTTAATGATGACACTGACATACTCCATCTTTATGATAACTTTTGATAAGATCCTTATCCTCTTTTCAACAAATATTTACGTTTACAGGAACATAGATAATTTGATTTATTTTTGAAATAAATATCTTCCTCCCTGTTGACACATGAATATAACACTATTTAACAATAACCTTTCCTTTTTGTTTATCTCCAAGATCTCATATTAATAAACATCACAATATAAAATATATTAAAAAACTTAAAAAGTCCAACAGTCGTTACACATTCAAACATTAAAATTCTATGTTTATAGAAATCAAAATCCTTTTAACAATAAAAAAAAATCTCTTTAAAGGTCCAAAGTTTATCAACTATGGGCTTCTGTAAAAGCAAAATAAATACTTCTTTATTTAAAAAGCGAGTAACCAGGGCAGAATCACACATCTAAACAAAGCAAAACCAACTCCAACAGTGTAAATCACTCAGTGTTCAATGTTTGGGATTTGCTCAAGGTCTTCTGGGATGTTCCTAAGGGCCTACCACAGAACATCTAGCTTATCTCCTTTGTTAAGGGTGGTTCCACTCCATCACCTCTGCTGATTTTGGTAATAATCCAGTCATACTGGCATCTCCAAAATGTTGGGATCTCCTGTTGTAACTGATTTGCACTTTCACCAGTAACCTCCTTTGGGCTCTTTTCATGGTGCTGAGCCTCAACTTCTCGGCATGACCCATGCAGTCCTGGAGCTTCCACTGATATTAAGGGTGTACTTTTACAAGAAGACTCTTCTGGTCTCTTACACTACCAAACCTCAATAATCTCCTTGATCACCTTCATAAAACTAGCACCTCCTAAGTGACTCTTAAACTACCAAGTTCAATTACTAGCACAATGTGAACCTTGACTGATTCTGGGCCACAGCTTCTGTGTGCTACCCCTGAGGAAATACTCCCAGAATATTAAACCTCAATGATGCTCGTCTCTTCTTAATCACTGGAAATTTCTCAGCTCCAGCTAACCAGCATCATTTGTCCCAGTAAAGCAAAGATTTCACTTCAGTGTTGCTAGTCTCTTGTTAATTGTGGATGACTCTTTAGCCCCAGCTGACCAGAACCACAAATTCTTAGTTCAAAATAGTAAATATCCTTCTGAACATTTCAAGCCATGCCTCCATCAGCTGCACTGTTTTCACCATTGTCTCCCAAGCTCCAGCAGTCCTGCCCAGGGAACTTTCAGCATGCAATGGCTTTTATCCCTATGTTTCAAAGTCCTTCCACAGTCCTACCAGAAACAGCTTGATTAGGTCTTTTACAGCCAATGCCTCACTCCTGGTACCAATTACTATCCTAGTTAGGTTTACTGTTGCTGGGATGAGTTATCGTAGCCAGAAGTAACTTGGAGACGAAGGGTTTATTTGGCTTGCATATCCTGAATCATGGTCCCTTGATGGAAACCAAGAAAGTAACTCAAACTAGGTAGGAACCTGGGGGCAGAAACCATGGAGGAATGCTGCTTACAGACTTGCTCCTCATGATTTGCTCAGCCTGCCTTCATAAAGAACCCAGGACCACTATCCCTGGGGTGGCACCACCTATAATAGACTAGGCTATTCCATAAAAATCACTAATTAAGAAAATGTATAATAAGACTGCCTACAACCAAAACTTATGGTGGCATTTGCTCCGTTGAGGTTCCCTCCTCTGAGATGACTCTAGACAGTGTCAAGTTGAAATAAAACTGGCCAGAATACTCCTTTTGAGACACTCCCACTCTTTATAGTTCTTACTAAGTTTCCCTTAAGAAGTCTGTGTTTGCTCTGATTAAAAATAAGTAAACAAATAAACACATAAATAAAATAAAGCAGGAATTATCAGAAGATTATTAGTGAATCATGAGCGACTTTATTTTGAACAATGATGAGTCCCTTCCGAGAAGGGACTTTGATTTCTTGTGCAGTTCCCAAAACTGCTTCTGAAACTTACTAATTATGGTTCAGTCATGATTGCCTGTAGTGGCAGGCCTTGTTTCCACAGGTCTAAATGAACATTAACCACACATTGCTGTAAATAATGCATATGCATAATGCCAGAAGCTCACCATAATAGGAAAGTGCATTTTAAGAAGCATTTATTCTTGGGCATTTATAGAATTTTCAACCTTGAACCAGAGGTATTATAGGAAGAATAAATTAATTGGAGACACAGATTTGGGAGTTAGGTTGATATGTTTGTCCCTTTATAGCGATTCCAAATTTAAAATTTGAATAATTTATTATATAAAATTTATAATTATTATATTTACAAAAAGGAACATTATAATTTATTATAAGAGTTTGTTCACAGATAGAAAGCCATGGTTTAGCAATAAGGCTTAATGCTATATAAAATTCATTCCTTATTTCAATTTGGCTCACGTTACCAGACTGCAGCTTAGCTTGATATTATGTTCTCTATAGTCGTCCAAAACCCAGATAATTAGCCTTTTCTGACTATTTCCCCTATATGTAAATCTTCAGCTATATTTTTGGGCTTGCCTTCATTGTGATCAATTAACACCTATTGTATTGTTTTCATTATTTCAGTCTTTTTAAAGCACATTTATTTATTTTTCCATTTTCATTACAGTGTCATTTCTTCTCTGTTTTTTAGCTGGGTCAAGACTTTATTTTTATAGTGTCTTCCCATATAACATCTGCTCTGATTGTACACTTAGAGGATCATTGGCCTTATTCCACTGTGACTGACAGAAATAAGTAATATATTATATCCCATGCCCAACATATAGTAGTTTAATAAGTATTCACAGCAAATGATATCTATATAATTATCTCATGTATAAATTATGTATGTGACATCTTTACAGTTTAGAAAGTTGGTCTCTGTGCCAGCATTTAATTTAAGAATGATGTTTCAAGGAAAATTTCTAGGATATTTCCACTATCATAGGGACTGAGATATTGGAGCGCCTGTAAAGGTACTGTTTCTGAAGACATGTGTAGCTGGCTCATGCTTGTACCTCAGCCCTTGGGAGGCTGAGACAGGAGGATCACTGCGAGTTTAGGGCCAGTGCTGGCTACAGTGTGAGTCATACACAGGTCAGCCTGGGCTGGATGAGAAAGACTGCCTCAAAAAGTGACTTTTCAGAATTTATTGGAATCCACAGGTTAAGAAATGATTTTATTTAATAGTGCAGAATCTGCCAGGTGGTGGTGGCGGTAGCGGCAGCGCACGCCTTTAATCAAAGCACTCGGGAGGCAGAGGCAGGTGGATCTCTGTGAGTTTGAGGCCAGCCTGGGATACAGAGTGAGTTCCAGGAAAGGTACAAAGCTACCCAG